TGTCTTGGTAATTACTTTCGTTTCATTAATCAGTAAAGAATTATCGTCTGAGATTTCGGTTAAAGATTGCTTGGAATCACAATCCTTATTAGTTGAAAATGTGAGTGATGATTTTTTGTATTTACTTGAATCACAACTAAAATCCTCATCCTCCAGAGAAAAGTTATAATCATTGTTTGAACAAAAGTTATGATATTTGGGGGGAGATATTGAACATGGATCTGGAGGGCGTGGCACTTTAGTAAAAAATTCGACTGGTCGAGGACGATATTTTTTCTTTTGACTTGAACTGGACTCTATCCGGGGTTTGGTATAACTGACACTGTTAACTTTTTCTTTATATTCGCTCAGAGGGCAGATTTTACTTTCTTTAACTTCCTTACAGACGGTGCAAGTCATTGGAATTTCTTCAAGAAATTTTTTATTTTTATTCTTACAATCTTCATAGACCTTAAGGGTATCTTCATAAATACTGAGCAATGATTTATCCAAACCAATAAAATTTACAAGTCGTTGTAGTTCATTGATCAATTGATCCTGATATGAAACCAATAACTGTAAAAACAAAAAAAAATATTTCAATCAGCGATAGATATGAAAAGACAAGGATAGATAGATAGATAGATAGATAGATAGATAGATAGATAGATAGATAGATAGATAGTGTGTGAGAGAGAGAGGGGAAAATTAAGATAGATAGATAGATAGATAGATAGATAGATAGATAGATAGATAGATGAATAGATAGATAGATAGATAGTGAGAGAGAGGGGGAAATTAAGATAGATAGATAGATAGATAGATAGATAGATAGATAGATAGATAGATAGATAGATGAGAGAGAGGGGAAATTAAGATAGATAGATAGATAGATAGATAGATAGATAGATAGATAGATAGATAGATAGTGAGAGAGGAGGGGAAATTAAGATAGATAGATAGATAGATAGATAGATGGTGAGAGGGAGGGAAATTAAGATGAATGAATAGATAGATAGATAGATGGATAGATAGATAGATAGATAGATAGATGGGGAAATTAAGATGAATAATAGATAGATAGATAGATAGATAGATAATGATAGATAGATGAATAGATAGATAGATAGATAATGAACGGAATAGACGAGAATACACACTTATAGACATACACATATATATATATATATATATATATATATATATATATATATAGAGAGAGAGAGAGAGAGAGAGAGGGAGGGAGAGGGAGATAGGGTGAGAGTGAATGACGGATTTTTTAATGTGATATCTCTATCTATAAAAGGCAGGGTGTGTGTGTGTGTAACGAATGCACGGCCGCAATTTTCAAAGGATTTGCACCAAAATGTATATGCACTTGCTCCGAGTTAGCTGGAAGGCCAAGACCGACATTGCATTTCCAAACTCCCCTCGATAATGGAAATAAACTTTTTATGCTTCTACGTCAGTTTTCATGTAGTTTGCGGCCATTTTGTACTGGCCAGAGTAATAGCCTATAGCTGGCTGCCATGAATAGGCAGGAAGATTGGCCAGCGTGGGAGCCAACAGCTGACTGACACGAATGTTAACTAGCATGCTAGCATGCAAAAAAAATCGATAGCTGCATTCGTCACAAGTAGGAAAAATTTAAATCTGCATGGCACTTTACTCCAATTGGGTCATTCGCTTGCTTAAACTCAACGTTCATTCTGATTCCGTAGAACTGGGTTGAGTGTGAAAAATATTTGTTGTTAACATTCTTTTTTCATTCGGTTTTTCCAGTTACGAGTCCTTTTTTAAAGCTGATCGTTTTGTGTTCATTTTTTTCTTTTTTCGTAACATATTTAATGTTTAGTATAGAGCTTAGAAAAAATTCGCAGTGTGAGATAGGAAAGAAGTAAGGCATGTAGCAACATCAGCACGGCAAAGGGAAATTTTAGAGAAAAGTGCAAACAGGTAAGGGAGGTACAAAGTACAATTGCTTTTAGCAGAGTGCGTTGCTTACTACAATATATTATCGTTCCTTTTTGGGGAAAAATTATAAGTTTTATTATTTAACATACAAAAATACTCCCACAATTTTAAAAACAATTTAAAAATGAGTTAGTGTTTAGTCAAGGATGAATAGTAATAAAAATATCTCTTGGAAGATTGAAATGTTAAAATGTTTTATAAAATCCACGAATAAACATTTTAATAATAATAATAATAATAATAGTGATAATAATAATAATAATAATACTTTGTCAATAATGTCAATTATTGATAATATTCAATCAATGCTATAAGACCAAACATCTACATAAAATATTCTGCAAAGAACTGTTCATGCTTGATCGTATCGATCAGTTTCGAATCTGTAATCATAAGTTTCGAATCACAAGTAATTTCTAAAGAATTGATGTATTTTATTTTTTAATCAGACATATTTTTATTACTCCAAAGGTTAAGTGGATACCTGAATCTCAGTACTATATATATATATATATATACATATATATATATAAATATATATATATATATATGAAATGCTAATAATTCGGCAGCATATTTTCATTAGGACAAGTGTCGTTAAATAATTTAGGTGTCATCCTCAGAGTTTCATCGGGGTATTGTTAATTATAATTAACAATACTCTGATGGTGATGCCATGTCGAAAGTACTCGGAAATAAATACGAGCCAACATGGTTTTTTTCCTGTCGTCTTTCAACAACCGCACAAAAAGCTTATTCGCGAATATGAAAGGATCCTATCGAGAGACAGAACATGTCTAAATTATTTAACTAAACCTGCCTTATATATATATATATATATATATATATATATATATATATATATATATATATATATATATATAAAATAAAAAAATAAAAAAATAAACAAATCTCCATAGACACGTAAACCAGACTAGGCTAAAATATCTTCCGTTTCAAATTTAGACACCCCCACCTTACCCTAGTAACTCTGTACTGATACTTATTATTAACACCCAACACACGCCTACCCAATTTAAACAATTCGACCTAGCTGTTACCATGGAAATTTTGATTTCAATTATTAAAACACGTAAATTTCACAAATAAGTTATTCAAAAAAATTTCGCTCTGAGTGTTGACTTCAATGTTCATTTATATATATATATATATATATATATATATATATATATATATATATATATATATATATATAATGAACATTGAAGTCAACACTCAGAAAACACATGCAGTGTTGACTTCAATGTTCATTTTTATCCCATAAATTGTAGCACACCATAAAACTATATTTCTTCATATATATATATATATATATATATATATATATATATAGATGAATAAGCATATGTGCAAGAAAATACATTTTCAATCTGGCTTCGTTTCATACATACCAGTTTATCATGATGGTTCATTCTAACAAGATGCTCTAAAGGCTGGGCCAAATAACAAGCATTTGGCCGCATTTCTATCAAATCTGCCATCATTATTCTTGTATCTTCGAACTTTCTGGCAGCCTGTGCTACATCATCCTTTAACAAATAACAATGGGCTATCCAATTCAGGAGCATTGCATTGAAATAATGATTACTGTGCAGCTGTTGGTGTATATTCAAAGCGTCTTCAAAATAAAGCAGGGCATCATCTATGTAGTTCCTGAAAATGAAAATAGATGGAGAGAATGAATTAGAAAATCAAGAGGATAAAGGGCTCTGAGGATTAAGAAAATAATCAAGTTTCATTCTTACGGGTGTTAGCTGTACATTAAGGAAGGCCCAAGTTGCTATGAACAAAAGCAATTGCAATGGTGGCTGTTAACGAGGTTCAAACATCAGCCACAAGTACTGGAAGCTAATAAGCACCCATTTCTCCCCGTCTATACAGAGAAATGGGACTATGCTCAGAGAGCTAACTTGTTATGAATAGACTAGTATATATATATAAACATACCTAGACAGATAACGAACAGCTTTAGTTGGTTAGGATAGATAGATGATAAGAACACGAACACACACTCATATATATATATATATATATATATATATATATATATATATATATATATATATATATATATATATATATATATATATATATAGGGATTTTATTTTTAATGTGGCATTATTACTTATTCCTTATCTGTATAGATAGGTAGATAGATAGATATGAACGCACTGAGATAGATAAGAACACGCACACACACACACACACACACATATATATATATATATATATATATATATATATATATATATATATATATATATATATATTTAAAAATATATTTGAAACAGTACAGAAGCGTATTAACGCATTAAAAACAAGAAATTTTATATTGTAGGCCATGATAGATTTAAAACAAAAACAAACACCAGTCGAACGGTTTCGTACCCTCTCATCGGAACTAAAATTATGAGGAAAAGAAAAAGTCTGTTATACATAACATGAATGATTGGACAGGGAGAAATACATTATTATAAAAATATATATATGAGAGAGATTTTATTTTTAATGTGACATTATTACTTATTACTTCTTATATTTATAGATAGGTAGATAGATAAATAAATAGATAGGAACGCACTGAGATAGATAGATAGATAGATAGATAGATAGATAGATAGATAGATAGATAGATAGATAGATAGATAGGAACGCACTGATAGATAGATAGATAGATAGATAGATAGATAGATAGATAGATAGATGAATAGGAACGCACTGAGATAGATAGATAGATAGATAGATAGATAGATAGATAGATAGATAGATAGATAGATGAATGGGAACATGAGATAGAGATAGATAGATAGATAGATAGATAGATAGATAGGAAGGAACGATAGATAGATAGATAGATAGATAGATAGATAGATAGATAGATAGATAGATAGATAGATAGATTCATTTGCTCATAATTGTTTGCTGTTTTTAATTAGTTCACTTTGTATTTTTAATCCCCTAGCAGCTGAACATTAAATGCAAATCTTTTATTGACAAGAAATACAATTACATTTTGAGAAAAACACTTACATCCTCAGTTTCACAACACCAAATGTGTATTGGATTGTAGCGGAATGTATGTGTATCCAACATTTTTTCTTCATGATATCTCGAGCTTCATTCAAATATTTCATGGCCAACTCTGAGACAAATAGAAAAAGGAATCAAAAGTCATTTTACTTTGTTAAGCCGACAAAAAATTTCATCATTGTACAATCTTATGATCATGAATCTTGTGCCGATCTGTAAATATCCACTGGGTCCCCCCCTTAGTTATTGTTATATACTGTACCTGTGAACAATAATGAGTATGTCCCAATCCTCATAAATACGTGGACACTATTGTAAGTCGGGGTAATATGCTGTATAAGTAGTCCACCACTAGCAGTGGTTTACCTATTTCTTGCTGCTGGCGAGTATTGTATTTTGTTGATGTTATAAAGATTACGATTTCATTTCCAACCTCCGTTTTGGTTATTCCTTATTCAATAACCCTTCCTAAGTTACAACAGTTATTCATCAACTGGGCATATCATCCCACGTTATGTGTTACAAAATATAGGGGCTAAACAAAAATAAAGAGAATCCCTACCGTCATGTCTAGTACTTTAACAACCAGACCCTCAAGTAGAACTCATACATAAAGACGCTAGAAAAATGTTTACGTTTTTCTCTCTCTCCACAAAGTACTTGATTCGTGCTCTATCTTTACAAAAGTCAGATCAGAACCTGAAATGAAGCATCTTTGCCATATCTGGATTGGAGTAACTCAATTTCACTCTCAAGCAAGGCAATAAAGCCACTAAGGAGTTGTTGGGTGTTAGGGAATATGTCAAAAATTTTTATTAAGTAAAGAATACAATAAAAGAACAAGAATTAAGAAGATAGAAAATAACGATTGACATTGCATTTAAATTTTTGAAGATCAAAGTTTACAGTGAAACGAGAAGCCGAATGAAAGCTTCACGAGCGATAAGTGCAATAGAAGATACTGTTAGCATAGAACTTACGGTTACATCTAGCTATTTCAACTGTAAAATGAGACCTTGCCTCCAATCTAAAAGTACGCTTAAATTCAAAAAAGTCTAGGTACCATAGAGGAAAGTTCATCAGATTAATTAGTATATAAAACTATTTCTATGAAACTATTCATAGAATAGGCACAGGGAAGTTACTTTACAGCGGGTGGGATGTGACTGAAGCCGAGATGCCAGATCAGGAGCAATAATAGTGCAGATACTACTTCGGGTTTTATCAAGATTCTCTAAATATATAGCAGGACAACCAGACCAGATATTGCAACAATATTTAAATATGTCAGTGGAAAATAATCCATCGCCTTATAAGCGATGGGTTATTTTCCCCTCTACATCCTCTTTCCCATATATGTAACATTGCAAGACTCACTACTGCCGAATTATATTCCCCAAGTCTAACAACTAAACACCGGCATGCCACTTACACATGGTCAAATTGTCCTCATTCCATTCTTATTTCTTTTGTCAAGAAGGAAGCTCCATTCGGACACATTATTCCCAAGACCAACTGGTTTTGAGGGGACAGATTCCCGAATAGATGCTTCCCCGATCATGTCTCAAGTTTATGGTCAGTTGTTATCTATCCTACATATCCTCATAATGTGCGGTTACTTCTTGCCCTTACATCCATACAACAACCTTATTCAGTAACCCTCTACATTGAGTTGTTCTTGGGCCTTCACATTTATCAAAAATAATTAACCTATAAATGTCTGCAAACAATTAAAAGACTATAGAGGTATAACTCTAATGCTAATTGCAGCAAAAGTTTACATTAAGTGTCTGTTAAATAGAATTGTCCCTAGCATCGATCCGCTCCTCAGAAAAAGCCAGAATGGATTTAGAAGAGGCAGGCTTCGTAACTGCTCAAATCTTTTCCATTCGCCGTATGTTGGAAGAGATGAAAAAAAAAATAACAAAGAGGTCACAATCTATTTTGCTGACTTTCGCAAGGCGTTTGATTCCACCAGCAGAGATCTCATGTTCAAAATCACCAAACTCTATGGTATGCCCTCCAGAATTATTGAGGCAATTAGAGTTCTGCACAGAAACACCATTACAACCATTGTATCGCCTGATGCCGAAAATGATTTCTTTGAAGTTAAAGCAGGATTTCTACAAGGCGACACACTTTCTCCTTTTCTGTCCGCAGTTGTTCTGCACTATGTTCTGCTTATTTCTCTCAACTACATGGTGGAAAAAGAACTCCTTTTGAAACCTCGCCACAGCAGTCGGTACCCTCCACAATACCGGACTGACATTGACTTTGCTGGTGATCTTGCATTAATTTCTGAATGTATCAAGGACGCAAATCATTGCCGCTATCACGAGGGCAAGGCACAAATCGTGTCAGTCTCTATTGCAACGAGAATAAGACAAAACACATCACAACCTCCCCTGAACCATCCGAATTGAAACCACTCAATAATGCATCCATCAAAAGAGTTGGGCATATCATAGATTCCAAAAAAGACTTCAACATCCGCAAAGCTCTGGCATGGGATACGTATAACAAACTTCACAAGGTTTGTCTCTCAAATCTTTCATCCTCCTAAAAAGCCAAAACATTTTCAAACAATGATTGAACCAGCCCTACTCTATGGATCAGAAACTTGGACATTCCTCATGAAAGACGACTGGGTGGAGCATATACAAATCTACTAGAAAAAATCCAGAACATCAGTTGGGGATCCCATGCAATACTCAGCACAATCTACGAAGAACTGAGATTAACCTCTCTTAAGCTCAAATAAAAACGGTTTGCCGGCCACTGCCACCGAGTGGATAGGGAAATAATCTCATCCTTATTCTTATGTCATCCTTCTGGAAGTGTCTTCTTACGAAAATTGACTTTCCCAGCCACTCGGGACTCAGGGTTAGACATTGGGGATCTGGTGACAGCAATACAGGACCGAACATTTTGGAAAGGGATTGACAATGGAGTTCCGACTAACCATAGATCAAAGGATGATGATGATATAAGCTTACGACTGGAATTCCTAACTTTCTGCTTAGTGACACTTGATCCTGAAATCTTTTATTTATACTACGTTTTTTCAGTTGTATAAATCGGGTAATTTCTTTGAAGTTTTCCCTCCTATACTTTGCTGTCTACACAGTCATAAAAACTGCTGTGCTTCTGGCTTATATAAAATCATTCACAAATCCTTTTGAGTGTATCCTAAAACAATTCTCTGGAGACCAGTTATGCCATATATGTATCTGCATTTACACGAGAAATCTTTTTTTTTTTTAATTTTAATAAGAACCATCAAAGAATAATTGAATTACCAAAAGATAATAATCTATTCAAATAGTTTCACAGTATATCTACATTATGCGTTTAATAGCCTCATTGTTACGGTTGAGGAATAAACTTACCATATTTCTGGGGTTTCTTGGATGCCAAATCTGCTATGTGACACAAGGGGATGACCAAATTTTCTGGCTTTATCACAGACATTTGGCGACGCCTTGACAGAGATCTTGAATACCATTTCAGAGCATCAATTTCACTTCCATTGGCTACAAGAAAATGATTAATAAAAGGTTAATTTCATTATAACTTGACTTAGCGTTTTAACTGATTCCATACACCAAACATTCGATATTCATTGACCAAATAGCGTTTACTATTATCTGAAATTTATAGATACTTTTTGCTTAAAACAATTTTCAAGAAAATGGACCTCTCAAGTGTCCACTAAACGTTACCGCTCTTTCTAGTATTGAGGATAGTTTCCTTCCAACTCTTTTGTTTTGAGTTGTGTGGAAAGTGAAATCTTCAATTTCTGATTATTTCCTCTTCTAGATACATATGATACCAATATTTGTTGTTTCTGTTGTTCAAATGATGTCATCTTTTGGTAAAGCTCTTAGTTTGTGATATTGTAGCGGCACTTTATAAGGTTTGATGAAAAATTTGACATCCTTTTGCATTAAGAACTAAAAGGGTACATGTTCTTTAACCAATTATGTGTGTGTGTGTGTGTGCGTGTGTGTGTATAATAATGGACTCTCCCATCGGTTTCGACGTATGAGGATCTGACAGCTTATTGATTCAGTTATGAAAGTTTGTGCGATAATCTTAAGTGAGATTTAAGACCCGCTAGTGATTTACAAAGAAGGCCACATATGGAGCAAGTTTGAGGATTGGGAGATGAGATCACTGTTAGATTGGCTGACCTTTTAGATCTTGCTCTCGCTTCTTGAAGATGATTCAGAAAAGCAGATTGAAAATTGCTGAGTCCACTAAAATACGTTGACCTCCATTCTACCCGCTCCAAAGCTAAGCGCTCAAGGGTGTTATGTGGTATATTGACTGCTGACAAGTTGCTTTTCAGCTTGTCTTTGTATCTTAGCCACGGGCGTCCTACATTCCTGTAGCCCTTATCTAACTGGCTGTACATTAGGATCTTGGGTATCCTGTCATCAGACATTCTCAAGACATGACCAGTCCACCGTAACTGAGACTGTATGATAAAAGTCTTGATTCCTCCAATATTACACCTGTTAAACAAGTCTACGTTAGATGTCCTATCTTGAAGCTTAACTCCACATATTGCACGCAGACAGCTTTTATGGAAAACATCTAGCTGGCGTATATGGTACCTGTATATATATATATATATATATATATATATAGAGAGAGAGAGAGAGAGAGAGAGAGAGAGGGGGGGAGAGAGAGGTGGGGTATAGTAGTTCCAACCAGAAAAAATATATATTTTAAAAAAAGAGAAAAATCGCAAATGATTTTGGTTATAATGTGAATTTCTTTTAGTGCATGTATTATATTTACACGGGTTTCCGGTCTCGTGACCTTCTTCAGGCAAATAAAAGGAATAAATTTTTAAAAGGAGTAAATTTTCCTGATGTCTTTTTAACGTCTCTGGAGGCTACAAAAGAGTTCAAGGCTCACTAACAAATACAGAAAACGAACAATGAAATATTAAAAGAACATAAGGAAAATTTATTCTCTCTCTCTCTCTCTCTCTCTCTCTCTCTCTCTCTCTCTATTAATATATATATATATATATATATATATATATATATATATATATATAACCCAGTTATTGTTTTATTGTTTAAATATGGAACAAATAGTACGACAGACTAGTCTCTTTAGTCATGCTTGTCAACCATTCTTGGAGAAAGGCAACGCTAAATTCAGAGCCATAGGGGGAGCTGTTTGGGAACATTATGCCACCAATTCTCTGTATACAGTTTTTCCGAAAAGTGTGGATAGTTCCGCACAAGTCTTCAACACTATAACCAAATCATTGTGCGAGTAATATTACTGTTCAGTTTCAGGAGCTGAATTATAGGACCCTTATAAGTCGAAAACGACAGAAGGCCATTATATATATATATATATATATATATATATATATATATATATATATATATATATATATTCGTTTGAAGATGAAACAGAACTAATGCTTTTAATTTAATTATATAATTCAATTTGAGGTTTTGAAACATGGTTATTACTGTGTAAAGGAAGAAACTATATTTTAAATCAGTTAATTTGTAAAAATAAAAAATAACAATAAGAACACCGGAATTATATATCTTACTGTTCTTACTTTATATATATATATATATATATATATATATATATATATATATATATATATATATATATATATATATATATATATACACATAAGAATTGGACAAAGTCCGACAATTTATTAAAGACATTTTATGTTTAACGTTCTTTTTTTATAGATACAAGTATTTAAGTAAATGTCTGTTTATAATAAACAGTATCAAATAACATTTACCGGCCTGAATGTCCGAGAAATTTTTCATAGAAAATATTCGTCCTTTGACTATTCGAACCTGCGTAAATGACGGTTCCGTATAGGATTCAGGTTCGAATCCTGTCAAAGGACGAATATTTTCTATGAAAATTTCTCGGACATTCAGGCTGGTAAATGTTATTTAATACTGTTTATTATAAACAGAGCATTTACTTAAATACTTGTATCTATAAAAAGAATGTTAAACATAAAAATATATATATATATAAAACAACTAAAAAGTTGCAAATTAAAAAAATAATAATGTTTTTTATGAAAGTATTTATTTATATTATATATATATATATATTTATATTTATTTATATATATATATATGTAGTTTTGATATTTCAGATTGACCTCGATCTTTCTTCAGAAATAACTGTTTTAGAGGTCGATCTGAAATATCAAAACTATATATATATATAAATAAATAAAAATATATATATAAAATATAAATAAATACTTTCATAAAAAACATTATTATTTTTTAATTTGCAACTTTTTAGTTGTTTTTTTATATATACATATTAAGAAAGTGTACGTGGCTTCCCATTATGCTATATATATATATAAATATACATATATATATATATATATATATATATATATATATATATATATATATATATATATATATATGAATGGGCCATTTGTTGAAAATCATCAGAATCATGAAAAAGTGATAATAAGATAATCTTAGAGATGTAATCTATTTGGTTTCGCACTTCGATACCATCTTTGGGAAATCCTTGAAATTATTAGATTAAAAAAAATATAGTGACGAGCTCGTTAAATTATGTCTTTTTTCTAAAGAGTATGCTGCCTAGAACGAGGTGTAGAGGACAAACAAACCAGTAATGGCGTGATAACCTAATTCCGTAATCATCGACTCATGAGTGGCATACACAAAATAAGCTTACTCACAATCGTAATAAAATGGCAGCAAATAAGTCACGTTACTTCGCAATCTGCTGCAGGTGAAAACGCCGAAAAATGATGATTATCTTGAGGGAAAAACTTATTTTTAAATTTAATTTCTAATCATAGGAAGACATTTTTCAGGTGCCACAGGTAAATCTGAAAAATGTATAATTGTTTTGTTTCCAACTACTAGAGCAACGCCTGAGCCCAATTTGACATTGAGATAATAATTTCAAGGTGATATGAGGCTGTCACTTTCCAACGATCAACAGGTTTCGAGGGTTTATTTTTGGTTTTTATCATTTCACCCGAAGCAAGTCAGTAAAGCCACTAAGAGGCAAAGTCGAGCATAGTTGACTGGAAAACAAGGAACCGAAAAGAAAACAGCATCCAATTATAACATTTCTCGTGCTCTTGTGTTAATGTACTTTGATGCTTTATGAAATAATTATTCAACAAGTTTCCTTTTACTTAATAGTAAATTCATCTATTGTCAATATGTATATCATAAAATCTATATAAACATATATATGTATATATTTAAATGGATTAAGTCCGACAATAATTTAATATATTTTGTGTTCATACGTTATTTTTATAGATACAACTTATTTAAGTAAATTCTCTGGGTTTTTTTTAAATAATTTGAAAACAAGAATTTAGACTTTGTTAACCAGACGTTTTTCTGGAGTTAAATAGTATAGCACATCAGATCAAATGACGGTTTCCGTATAAGAATATAGGTTCGATTCCTGTCGGGGAACGCATATTTTCCACGAAATTTCTTAATCATTTAGACCGTAATATAATTAATACTGTTTAATTAAAAACAGTGTATTTACTTAAATAAATTGTATCTATAAATATATATATATATATATATATATATATATATATATATATATGTATATATATATATATATATATATTAACTATAAAATAATTTAAAAAAAAAAACGTAAAAAGTAATAATTTAATAAAATTGATTAAATATGTATAGGTTAAAAATCAATAATATATAATAATTTAATTTAGATAAAATGTTAAATAAGGTCTGTCCAAAAATTCACCAAAAAAGAGCATACATAGTGAGGACCCAAATTTTATGAAAACAAAGTTTTATTATCAAAATATTTATGTTATTATTAAGCGGAAAGACAAAAATACTTTGATTGTTTTATTAAAAGTTTTAATCCTTTCTAGCACGTTCGAAATTTTGGCCAAAATTTTGTTTTTCTTACGTTAGCGGGTGGGTCAAAAGTTTAGTATTGGAAATTTTAACGTCTTTTTTTGGCGTTAAAAAAACACATTTTTTTTTTATTCTTGTAAAAATCAAGTAATCGTCAGATTTTAATGAAATTTTCAGGAATCATTCGAAAATGGAAGAAATTATTTTTTTCTTATTTCTCTTTAGAAAATCTTGGTAAATATTTTTTTTACATTAATTACTTAATTTTATGGAATTTTTTACATTAATTACAATTTTATGCAATTTCGAGAAATTAAAATTCCACCTATTTATATTCCACTCGTTTCATATTTGTTAGTTAAAAGCAGGACTCCTTGGAGAATTTAAATCATCTATTTGTTCTTGTCAAACAGAAAATCTGATCTGAATCGTAAATTTAAAAATGAAATAAAACTATTTAATTAGAAATGTGTTTAACTCCTTTTTCAAATAAGATATATAAAAAGGGCACTATTGTAAGAAAGTTTTTTCGATGATAAATAAATTTTTACAAGAATTGTTTTCATTTTTTAAATTTTAATTAGAATAATTTAAGTTTTAAATCTTTTAAAATTCTGTATTAATTCCACCCTTTTAGATGATATAAGTTAAAACTATATTTACTAATCATAAATGGAAAAGCTTAGTACAAAGCATCAAGCACCAATATTTTTAAAAGAATTATGCTTTTCTTTTATGTGTATAAAGTGTGCCGATTTTGTAGATACGGGCGCCCAAAATTACATTAAAAGAACATAGGAGCGATATAATAAGTAAATTCAATAAAACATTAAATTAAGGAGAATATTTTCCAAAAATTTTTTATGATTACTGAGTACTTAAAAGTTATATAAATTATATAAAAAGTGCTCACGTTATTCACTTAGAACTTTCATTACGTTATCAGCATGTCAACACCTTAAAAAAACAGCTACTGTCAGATTACGAAAATACAATTCTGTAATATTTTATACTCAAAATAAATAGTATTTCTTTCAAATCGAATTAATTGTATTTTAAATCAGCTAATATTCGTCAAATAAAGTTTGAGAAAAGTATATTTTATTTTTGAAAGATTTTTTTATAAAGAGGATTGCATTGCAATAAACGGAGGCTAAAATTATTATTTTTTTTTTAGTAAATCAAAACTCCTTCCAGTCAATTTAAATTGGTTCTGAAATAGATGAAAGTGTTTTGCTTATTGGAAATATTAAATTTAGTCTATTTGCTTGAAGTTAAAATAAAAGCTTCAAGAAACATTTTTTTTCATTTTTAAAATTCATTTTAAACCTCAAGTATTGCGAATTAATGAAGGTACATATAGTAAATACAGAAAGTCCTCGAGTTACGACAGTCGCAACCTACGACGATTTGTGGTTACGGTGCAATACGAAGCAAACTGTGTAGCGAAAGAATACAATGCGCAAATATGAGAATACGGTGCCAGAGTTTATGTCCTCTATGTGTTTTTTAGTCCTAATTATGTTAAGATATGCCATAGAAATGTATTTTTAGTCCTAATTATGTTAAGATATGTCATAGAAATGTGTTTTTATGTCCTAGATTATTACTTTACTATTGCATTAGCACAGGTCAGTGGCGTAAGTGCTTATTTGGAGAAAATTGCAATACGTTCCGACTTACACGGAAAATCACCTTACGACGCATCGTAGGAACGGAACTCTGTCGTAAGTCTTGAATCCCAGTATATATATATATATATATATATATATATATATATATATATATATATATATATATAAAAATAAATAAAAGGTATTTTTTTAATATTACTTATGTTCATATTTATAAAGCTGAGCAGGCGTGTATATATATATATATATATATATATATATATATATATATATATATATAATTTTATTTTAGGATATTAAAATGCAAAAATCGCTACACAATTACAGTCATGTTTCGACAACATAAATGTGTCTCTTCAGGCGATGTTAAACTACTGGCGAATGAAAGATTATATATATATATATATATATATATATATATATATATATATATATATATATATATGTGTGTGTGTGTGTGTGTGTGAGAGAGAGAGAGAGAGAGAGAGAGAGTTGAAGATTATACGAAGATCAGACTTTTCATTTCTATTCTCAATCTCTGACGAAGCCTTAATAAAGGTGAAACATGTTACATTGAGACACGTTTCCTACTTGTTCTTTTATTTTATCATACACACACACACACACACACACACACATATATATATACATATATATATATATATATAGATAATATTAGTGGAAAATATACATACATATGCAAAATATATATAAAAATTCCCATACATGTATATTTTCAGAAAAAAAAAAAATTTTCCAAGAGGAAGGATCCAGGTAGAACTCAATGTCTAGGACAGAGTAAGGATATAATAAAAAGGCTTAAACACTAATATTCCATGGTCATAATTTATTCCATTGGAATCGTAAATACGATCCAAATCATCAGACCTACAAATTCAAAATGAAAACAGAAAAAAAACAACTCCGGAAATCAAAACAGAATTTAGAGAAAGTGTAAGTATGAGGAGGAGGGAGATGAAACCTTAACAGAGAGAATTTTAGGAGGTGTGGGGGTGGGGGGAATTTAAAAAGAGGAGAGAAAGAAAGTCGACGGATGTCTAATGCATAAAGATACATTTCGTGGTGTATATATATATATATATATATATATATATATATATATATATATATATATATATATTGGAAGTGTGATCGAATGAAATAAATTATAACCAATGGACCTTTAAAGTTGTCTATTTTCATTGAAGTAATAGCTCTGATTTAACATTGAGCTCTCTGAATTTCATCCTCCTTGGGATTATCCATACGGATTACCAAGATTTTCATTACTTAACTTATTCAAGGAATTAGTAGTAATATCGTATTAAGTCTTGTTAGCAAAGTGATTTAGCCATTAATTACATTAACATTAATTATTAATCACTTCTTTATGATATAACATATATACAGCACTATCTAATATATATATATATATATATATATATATATATATTATTTTTGGATATTAAATAATGTTATATATATATATGAGTTGAAGATCAGATGTAGATCACACTTTTCCATTTCTATTCCCAATATCTAACGAAGCCTTAATAAAGGGGAAACATGTTAGATTTAGACACGTTTCCTACTTGCCCTTTACTTTATTATATATATATATATATATATATATATATATATATATACATTATGAAATGAACAAAGTCCGACAGTTATTCCGAGAATGTCCGAGTAATTTTATGTCCGATAAATTTTCAATTTTTCATCTTTAACAGGATTCGAACCTGCATCCTATACGGAACCGTCATTTAGCTTGACGTGCCTAACTTCTCGGCCACAATGGATCGTTCGAATTTACTGCTTATAAACTTCAATTTTCCATGAATCTCTCATGTACATTCATAACTGCTCATGGCGTATCAAATGTAAACAAATGACGTCATACATTCAGGCCGGTAAATGTTATTTAATACTGTTTATTATAAAAACAGAGCATTTACTAAAATACTTGTATCTATAAAAAGAATGTTAAACATAAAAATGTCTTTAAATAATTGTCGGATTTTGTCCATTTCATAATGTATGACGTCATTTGTTTACATTTGATACGCCATGAGTAGTTATGAATGTACGTGAGAGATTTATGGAAGACTGAAGTTTATAAGCAGTAAATTCGACTTTGCCAATCGAACGATCCTTTGTGGCCGAGTGGTTAGGCACGTCAAGCTAAATGACGGTTCCGTATAGGATGCTGGTTCGAATCCTGTCAAAGGGCGAATATTTTCTATGAAAATTTCTCGGACTTTTATGCCGGTAAATTTTATTTAATACTGTTTATTATAAAAACAGAGCATTTGCTAAAATACTTGTATCTATAAAAAGAATGTTAAACATAAAACTGTCTTTATATAAATAATTATTTGATTCGCCCGATCTTTTTTTTTTTTTTTTTAATATTTTGTCATTAGTATGTATATGTTCGAAACTAAAGTATATAGTTAGGGTTTATAATGAGATATAGGCAAAATTTTTACTTACGCCCTTCTTCTGCCAATCCCAGGGAATTCAACATAACTGCGATAGACGCATGGTCGGAGTCTCCAATATTTTCCAGCGCATCATGTATAACTTGTTTGGCTTTTTTATGATGGCCTACATGAAAAAAAAGGGCATTCTGCCTTGAACATTTTTCTTTCACGGTTTCACCAATCCTTTTAATCGCTTTTAGTTAAATAGTATCTTTTATATATTAGAGTGAATTACAAGTAATTTCCGTTTGGGGGAGCTAACTGTAATGGCGAACATCCTAAATACTCATCATACGAGGCAGTTTAGAATCAATTTAAAGTAAACTAACATACTTTAGTTTTTGCTTGCTTGATTGATTGATTCGTTTTTTACAATTTATCAACTCTTTGATGGTTATTTAAAGCCAGAAAATATTTTCAGATTGTACGAATTTTTTATTATATAATAATGATTTAGTGATTCAAATCTTATTAATTAACCCATAGCTGGAGAAAGAAGTGGCTTCATACCTTTCCAAAGGGTATTTGCACGTAAGTAAATATAACGAATCCAGCTAGAATTAGAATTCGGCTCTCCGATTAACAATTCCAAGCCATTACGCCACCCGCACCCCCAATCTTACAAAACCTGGTAGTCTCTAACAGTTTTAGTTTTTTTTTTCTTGACAATAGCAGCGTACACTTTAGATTAAAAGATAATTGTTGTTCGCAGGGCACCTTCAGCAAGAATAACACAATACAATATTTGGGAGCTCGGTTGGTCTGTTCTACCCCAACCGCTATATATCTAACCTTGCACTGGCCTTTCTCTAATGAAAACCAAATTCAAATGCTCGTCAAAAGCTTTCGCGTCAAGAACTATGGAATTTTATACAAAAAATAGCAATAAGTCATTGCAAATAATGCTGAATATATAATTGAGTAAAACAATAAAGTTGATATAGAAAAACGGAAAATATTTGCTACTCAACCTAATAAGTTGTTGTAGAGTAGTTTTCACAGTGGAAGCTTGTATTTCACTAAGTCGGTCCTAAAAGGTTCGACGTACAAAACGTTAGGAACTTGAAATAATAGTTAATGACGCAGCAATCGAGTTGTGGTGGTTGATACTTTAAGGTCCGACATCGACTGACTCACCAACTCACTCTGAGCCCTCTGACGACTGCTACTACTACTACTTATTATATTAGAGTCTATTTACAATAGAATAGGTATGTTCTAGTAAAACATAAATCAACACTGCTATTGATCAAAGGTCAACCCGATGGCTAAGTCAAGTAAATTACTCTTTCTTGCTCAGTGAACAATTCGCTAGAAAAATGAAAAAGGTACTAAACTGTTACGTGATATCTGTCCTCCTGTATAGCAGTGAGTGGTGGACAATCTCCTCAAAGAGAAGACTTGAAGCAATAGAAATGTTGTTCTATAGAAAGATGCTGAGGATATCATGGCCCGAACGTGAACAACGACGAAATTTTAGAGAAAATGGAAACAAAAAGGAAACTTATACTTAACCTTATGAAGAGACAGTTTAGCTTTGTAGGCCACATAATGTGGTAGAGGGACTTGGATACTCACAGGACAGAGGAAAGCAACATACATAATGAGCTTGAGTAAATGAGTGACGATACAGTGTTTAGGAGAAATAACAGAAAGACAAAATTTATTAAGAGCTAAAAAGAAACAGGAAGTTGTGGAGGGCCATGATAGCCTATTTCCTGAGCGGAAACGGCACATAAAGAAGAAGACATCAATGGTGCGACAAATACATTAAGAACTGCCTCTGAAAATACAATGTTCACGACTTTCAGAAAATTATGTGGGTTGTAATGTAAAAATTGGATGTGGTTCGTGTTGCTGTTACCTTACCTGTGTGTAGATGAATAGGCTTATGGCCACATCACGTTGAAACACTGGTTCCAGTACGATCATCGAAGTTAAAAACGTCGAGACTAGTAGGTACCTGGATAGGTGACCGCCTAGCTTGGGTGAGCTAGTGATGCAAGAGATAAAGGTTCGAAATTGTTACTCGGAGAGCCGAGTTCCAATTCCGATTGGGTTCGTTATATTCATTTAATGTGAGAATTGGTCGGACTCCTCCCCATATTAAGTAGGCAACATAGCACTTTAGAGAGTCCCACCGAGCGACATCACTCGCTCACTTTCTGGTGCGACTGTTCGGTTAAACTCTCTTCCTACGGGCGGGAGGAACCCGAAGGAGGCTACGCCGAAGGGCGGAGTCTCCTTCGGGGAGGTAAAACCGGCCCTGAACCCGTTTATACGGGTTCGAATGGGCTATTTTTTGGCCGAGCCTAATGGCTCGGGATTGCCCACGTTAAAAAGGCCTTGTGCCACATGACACCCTCGTGGTGGGGTGACTAAATATCGTCACACAGAGTCACACTGAGAGACACACTGAGTGACATAGAGAGTGATATAGTAAGCTCTGCTTACACTATCTCTGTAACCTGTTGTTAATATATCTTTCTTACATCTGTGTTCTGTGTTTTACTTCTGTGGTCCCAACTTTGGCCCCACATCAAAGTCCAATACGCAAATCTATTCCACAATTATCTCCGTTCCTCAACCTCAGGTACGCAACAACTCCTTCTCAGAAACAAGACTTCTTTTGAATGAGCGTACATTGCTTTTATGCACCTAACCCAGCTATTGCTCAGCCAATGAGCCCCTAGAACCAGCCAATAAAAATGGCTACAAGCGACACCACCACTTCCGTCCACACGAACTGCTGTCCGATTCACCTTCTGTCTGAAGCTTGCCAGTTCACCGTCTACACACTCTATTGCAAAACATACGCGTTACTCTAGCCCTTTGGGTCGCCGAGGTAAGCCTCCGCTACAAAAGATATGAATCCACCGTATCTCCTCCAGCTATGGGTTAATTAGTATTATTTGTATCACTAAATCATTATTATCACAAAAATTCTTTCAATCCAAAGATATATAACCTCCAAAAGGTAGAAAATGTTGAAAACGCATTAATCATTGAAATACAAATTAACTACACATACACGTCTGTGGATTTTGGATTCTCTGGAATAAAATGTATAGAAAATATCATGGCTGCAAAGTGAGGGATAATTTTAAATATTGATTTTAATATAGATTTGATCCCCGATTTTATATCCACATTATAATACTGTGTTTGTTTATCAATTCACCTCTTCAGCTTCCAGCTATGGGTTAATTAGTAAAGACTTCTATCAATAAACCAATCTCAAAAACAAAATTCTTACAATCTAAAAATATTTTCTGGCTTTAAATAACCTTCGAAGGGTAGATAAGCCGTAGAAAACGAATCTTATCAATCAAGGTACATGTATGCGTACGCACGAGCGTGCACGCCCGCATGTCTAATATCCTTTTTATTCAAATTTTTTAATGAAAATTTAACTTGTATATTTCATAACATTTTTTAATTAAAACGGCTTAATTTATTTCCTCATGTGAACATTTTTAAGATTTTTTAAAAGTCACTAAAATAAAAACAACATAAATTGAGGAGAGAGGGACTTTTTTTTTTTTCTAAACACTGTCTATTTTATGTTAGTTATTCGACCAAAAATCTAAAAGAAAATACGCAAATATTCTTACGCTTCTCTCGACAATAAACATGGAGAGAGTTTTTGACGCACAGAATAAAGATAAAATGTTTACGAAAATATAGGAAATTGTCATCAGAATTCTTTAATCAGTGGAAACATTTTAGAAAAATAAAGACAATATCATTTAATATTATACAAACTATTTCGATATCTGCCGCTTCACTGGCGTCAAAATTATCGTCTTTAAAATCTAAATTGTTTGCCACTTTAAAATACTCCATTTATTAGAAAATATATTTAGTTTAAATACAAAAGAGTCATAAAAAAGACTTTAAAAAGCCGCACGTTTCAGTTTATACTCTTTTCCTGTTGCCCAAGGGTTGTTGGCAAATAAAAAAATGTAAATTATCAGATATCATATAAGGATAGGATCCGCCCTTCTTTCATAATATAGATTTATAATTTAAAAAACGGAATACGTGGTTGCACCAGCTAATTGAGGAGAAGCTATAATATAATGAAAATCAAAAATAGTCAATTAATACTATAAAAACAGACATCATACACCAACCAATTTAAGAGCATATTGTACCTTGAGCCCCTGCCGAGTGCTGTGTCAAATTTCATTAAAATTATAGATGGGGTTCTTGAGCTAGGGCTGTTTTAACATTTAAAATACATTATAACAACATTATTAAATAAAATTAAATATGAATACCACAACATATATTTATACAATTCACTACAATGTATTAGATTTCTTTTATAAAAACTACTTGAACGGTGAAGAGACTATATGCGTCACGTGACTTGATGTTAAATAAATGCACGCTGGTTTGCTGCCGTTAGTTATTTTTCAAAAAATGCGAGGCATATGTATAATAAAAAATATACTTATTATTTTGCAAAGGACCATACCTGTTTGAAGCTATTACTCCAAATTTTCTGGTTTAAAAAATATTTCAAGTGAATAAGATTTAAAAATATGAGTTGTTTATACAGTATATTTATTTTAGTTTTCTTCAAATGTTTCATAGCTTGAACTGTCAGTGAGCCAACGTGTCACGGGTAGTCAAGTTAATAATAAAATTGATAATATTGTTACTTTATCATCTTGCATTATGAACTGCTTTTAAAAGAAATCCAACGTTCAAAAGATCTTAGTACAAACAAAAGACTAAATACTTACCTAAATAGATAAGTGTATAGGCATAAATCGATGCAGAATTGACCTTCACGTGATTTGCTTCTTCCGGATCTACATCTCTGACTTCCATCTCCAGAGCTTCATGAGCACACCTGAAAAATACAATTAATAGTTTTAGGAATATTCCAATTATCTCTCTCTCTCTCTCTCTCTCTATATATATATATATATATATATATATATATATATATATATATATATATATATCACTCGATGAATGTTATGATCCATGCTTTTAAAAATTATCAGCTGTATCAGGTCTTTCTTAAATACACGAGTACTTTAGACTGTACATTCAGTCATTTTCATGCATGGAAATTATTTTGTTTTTAGTAAAATTCAGGTAGCATCCGAGACGAAAAATATAATCAATTTTACAAAAAATAATATATATATATATATATATATATATATATATATATATATATATATAAAGACATTTTATGGTTATACGTTCGTTTTTTATAAATACAAATATCTAAGTAAATGCTCTGTTTATAATAAACAGTATTAACGACATTCACTGGCTTTGAATGTCATAGAAATAAATATAAAGGTAAAAATGTCTAAAAATATTTGTCGGACTTTGTGCATTTGATAATATATATATATATATATATATATATAGAGAGAGAGAGAGAGAGAGAGATTGAGGGAGAAAGAGAGGGGAAAGAGAGAGAGACAAAAAATTTCAAAAAGCAAAACGTACATTGGCGAGTGAAAATGCTTTATTTTTGCTTCAATCGAATCATTATAGAAAATGATTTAAATTTGTTTCAACTCGGCTAAATACAACCGCCTACTTAGATCCGTAATTAAAAATGGCTTCGGGCCAATGGCGTATGTAGGTTTTAGCGCGAACCATCCTTTTTCGAGTATTCGTGGAATCGCATCAAAGAATCACAAAGAATTGTACTAAATAGCAGAAGCCACATCATCCGAGGACTTTCAACAGCAGAAACAACTAAAATGGATAGTACATCGAAGAGAAAATCTCTATCTATAAAAGGCAGGAAGTGTGTGTGTGTGTGTGTGTGTGTGTGTGTGTGTGTGTGTGTGTGTGTGTAACGAATGCATGGCCGCAATTTTCGAATGATTTGCACCAAAATTTACATGCACATGCTCCAAGTTAGCGGGAAGGCCAGGACCCCATCGATAGTGGCAATAATCGATTTTTTCAAGCTTCTACGGCAGTTTTCATGTACTTTGCGGCCATTTTGTACTGGCCAGAGTGAGAGCCTATAGCTGGTTGCCATGAATAGGCAGGAAGATTCTATTGGCCAGCGTGAGAGCCAACAGCTGTCTGACACGAATGTTAACTAGCATGCTAGCATGCAAAAATAAATCGATAGCTGCATCCATCACAAGTAGGAAAAATTTAAATCTGCATGGCACTTTACTCCAATTGGGTCATTCGCTTGCTTAAACTCAACGTTCATTCTGATTCCGCAGAACTGGGTTGGGTGTTAAAAAGTATTTGTTGTTAACATTCTTTTTTCATTCGGTTTTTCCAGTTACGAGTCCTTTTTTAATGCTGATCGTTTTGTGTTCATTTTGTTTAGTTCTTTTTTTCATAACAGATTTAATGTTTAGTATAGAACTTAGAAAAATTCGCAGTGTGAGATAGGCAAGAAGTAAGGCATGTAGCAACATCAGCGCGGCAAAGGGCACTCCGCTAAAGGCAAGGAAGGGCAAAAATATTTTAAGTCAAGTGATAGTGATTGCTGTATGAGTCGTACGATTTTTGAATCAAGCCCGGGAAACGCCGGGTCATGCTGCTAGTAACTACATAATCAAGGTGTTGACGATCCACACAACTTCAGACAAAAAGTTATTTGGTTGGTTTAGTTGATTCATTTTCTACGGCTTATCAACTTCTTGCATGTTATTTAAAAACCGAAAATACTTTTAGATTGTAAAAGATTATTTTTTGGAGATAATAATGTTTTAGTGATACAACGCTTACTAATTAACCTATAGCTGGGAGGAGTAGAGGTGAATGAATACCTTCTCTAAGGGAACGTATGTAAGTATAACGAACTCAACCGAAATTTGAACTGGGCTCTTCGATTAACAATTCCGCGGTATTATTCGTTGCATCTCACGAACATATATATGCTTTAGAGCACCTTTTATACCCAAGCGGTCACTCAACCCGAAGTACTGACTAGGTTCGGGGTGGCTTAACTTCGGTGATCTTGATATGGCCTAAGATCTTTTATAGTTCGAAAAAATGCGACATCTCTCTTTGAGTTCAGAACACCATTTTATAATAATTATTTTTTCTTTTCTTTTTTTAAATCGCATTTTACTCTGTGTTAGGGCTTTGCCTATGTAAAGAATATATATATATATATATATATATATATATATATATATATATATATATTTCCAGTGGAAAATGTCATGATGCTATTTCTAACCTTAGGTCTCTGGGCGGGATCCGGAAAGAAATGAGTACACATCAGAAATCAAGGGAAATAATAATAATAATAATAATAATAATTAGTTTTAACCCGTGAAAATTTTACGGATTTCCTATTTTCAATTTCTGATAAGTCTTAATTGTTCCGTTAATGATTGAGTAAGCTCATGTTGAATCCGATGGCAATGAAATATCCGTAAACATTCCCCTATCGCATCGTTAAATATTTGACCTTACCAACATAAGCAATAACAGTCATAAATATGAATGCTGGTTGTTGTTTTAAGAAGTAAGGGGGTACAAATGAAAAGATTTGAAATTGATAACTGTTTCGCATTCCACTCCTTTTGTATTTAAACTAAATATATTTTCTAATAAATGGAGTATTAAACATTGCTATCTTCTCTTCGTTCTTTTATTTTCTGACTGAAACCAAGTAGCGGCTTTGGTATATTTATTTTGGGTATAACGATAAACTACATCCGGCAGCAAGGCATCTGATCGGGAGATTGGGGGTTTTGAGGGGCGTGGAACAACCTCTTAATTGCTGTTATTCTGTATGGACACCTTCCTCCTATCTCAGTTTCGCTAAAAGATTCGGCTAGCTGGTCACTCCTGGAGAACTCAGAACTTGTGAGTGACACCCTCCTATGGAACCCATTGCGCGGCAAAAGATCGGTTGGAAGACCTCATCACACCTACATTGACCAACTTGTAGATGACTCTGGATGCCATTTGGAGAACTTGCGATGTCTGACAGGGATGGTTGGAAGGAACGAGTCAGGGATATCCGAGAAGAATTCTCGACCTGAAGATTATTATTATTATTATTATTATTATTATTATTATTTAATGATGAAATTAAATAGGAATTCAAATCACGAATACTAATCAAGAAAAAATTTTTCCGAAATAATTTTCCCTATTTTTTTTATGAGTCGACTAGTCTATTCAAGTAATGCCGACACTTCTTTAAGTGATTATTTCCTATTTAAAGTGGTATTGTTATTATTATTATTGAAGGAACATCCAACAAAGAAACGCCTGTATGGACACCTTCCTCCTATCTCAGTTTCGTTAAGAGAGAGAATGCTTCGGCTAGCTGGTCACTCCTGGAGAAATAAGTCAGAACTTGTGAGTGACACCCTCCTATGGAACCTATTGCGCGGAAAAAGATCGATTGGAAGACCTCATCAGACCTACATTGACCAACTTGTAGATGATCCTGGATGCTATTTGGAGGACTTGCCGATGGCGATGTCTGACAGAGATGGTTGGAAGGAACGAGTCAGGAGAATCCGAGAAAAATTCTCGACTTGATATGATATGGTATATATATATCAGAAGTTAAACACTTCTGCCTTTTCCTTTTTTTTCTTTTTTCATGAAGCCAAATAGCATATCTGATATGCCTTTTTGTATTTCCACCCGATCAAATCGGAATAGTCCATTATTTATTCGGTATTGGCAGGGCGTCACAGTCGTGCGAACTAAGGAAGGAACAAACACAATTATTATTATCATTATTATTATTAGATAATAATAAACTATGGAACTTTTCATCTAATCAGGTGGGTATTCTCAATATAAATAAAAACTGAACATTTTACATGAACATTTACTGAACATTTTATCACTTAATAATCAGAATTTACGCACATAAAATGGATTCCTTTCTATTGTAACCTAGAAAGGGTTACTGAATAAGGAATAACCAAAACGGAGGATGGAAATGAACTTGTAATCTTTATAACATCAACAAAATACAATACTCGCCAGCGGCGTGAAGTAGGTAAACCACTGCTAGTAGTGGACTACTTAAAAAGCCTAGTGTCCACGTATTTATGAGGATTGGGACATACTCATTATTGTTCACAGGTGCAGTATATAACAATAACTAAGGGGGGGACCCAGTGGATATTTACAGATCGGCACAAGATTCATGATCATAAGATTGTACAATGATGAATTTTTTTGTCGGCTTAACAAAGTAAAATGACTTTTGATTCCTTTTTCTATTTGTCTCAGAGTTGGCCATGAAATATTTGAATGAAGCTCGAGATATCATGAAGAAAAAATGTTGGATACACATACATTCCGCTACAATCCAATACACATTTGGTGTTGTGAAACTGAGGATGTAAGTGTTTTTCTCAAAATGTAATTGTATTTCTTGTCAATAAAAGATTTGCATTTAATGTTCAGCTGCTAGGGGATTAAAAATACAAAGTGAACTAATTAAAAACAGCAAACAATTATGAGCAAATGAATCTATCTATCTATCTATCCTATGTTCGTTATAAATCTATCTATCCATCTATCTCAGTGCATTCATATCTAGCCCAGTCTGTTCATATCTATCTATCTATCTATCTATCTATCTATCTATGTTCGTTATGAGGAATAACCAAAACGGAGTTTGGAAATGAAAATGGTAATCTTTATAAATTCAACAACATACAATACTCGCCAGCGGCGTGAAGTACGTAAACCACTGCTAGTGGTGAACTACTTATACAGCATATTACCCCCACTTACAATAGAACATTATGAATGATGTCTGACATTGAAGAAACTATCATTGAGATATATTATCTGATCGAAATGAAAAATAAAGATTTATAGATAGATAGATAGATCTATCT